CATACATCCAGCCTGGGCCTCCTCTGACAGCCTTAGGTACAACATGCAATGCCAGTGTCTGTCCATCTCTGTTGTAGGCTGTGTACCTTCCAGCAGACAGACACAGAGCATTTTCATTGTCGAAGTAATGCCTGGTCACAGATGTTAAAGTTCAAGTAGTACATAAAGCTATAAATAGATAGACTGGGTGGGGACCCCCCCAGTCTAACTCCTTAGCAATAACTGATGTTAACCTACTTCCTGTATAGCCTTCCAGACATTTCTATGACTTTGAAATGACATGCGCACATCATCTTTTCTCCCCACAGATGGGCTAAGGCTATACACACTTTTCTGCAACTTTTCCTCAGAAGACTATGTATTACACATTTTTTATATTAGCGCATGTACATTTACTTCATTTTTTGATAGAAATAAATCCACATAGATTGTTTTCACAATTTATATAAATGAATAATGTTTTAAGACAGAAAATCAGTATAAAAAATAAATCTAGCTATATGTTGTTTGTAAGAGAAACACCTACACTGTAACATGATGCAGAAAGAGGAAAAGTCGACGGATTTGTTGAATAAAATAAGAATACATAAGTTTGTGTTTGTATTCATGTGCATTGTATGTGTTTGTAAGTGTATGTGTAAATAAATAAATGGGAGAGAAGGGAAAATTTTGCCTTACAAAAGAAAACCAAGCAGTGAATATAGAAGTAGAAAATTGCCATTGGCAACCATCATAGTAATAATTTATTCTAGAAAGAATCATTGTTTTGCTAAAATTAGAGGGTAAAAACTTGATGAAAAATAGGATATTTATAATTGTCTCAAATATCTCTATACAGAAGATGTAATGGGTTTCCAAATTACAAAGGGAAATATAATAACTTTGCGATGGAGATCTTATAGTTACCACCTTAACCAAGTATACATTAATAGGTTAATGGAACCTATTAACATCATCCGATACGATGCACTGAGAAGAACACAGCAATACTTTGGGAGTATTTCTGTCAAAACACATCAACTGAACCTAATCATGAGAAAACATTGGAAAAATCCAAATCGAGAGATATTCTGAAAAATAACCAGCCCTACTCTAAAAAAATGTCAAGTTCATGAAAGACAGAAAGCACTTGGGAAGCATTTCAATTAAAGGTGACTAAAGAGATGTGACAACAGAGGGCAATCTGTGATTTAGGACTCTCTTTTGCTATTAAGGACATTATTGGGACAAATCCCAATGACCTTTCAAAATTACAGATCTGATCTTGACACTACTTCTGCTTAAAAATCCTTTAGTAGATGCCTGTTGCCTTCAAAATACAAACCACACTCCTAAGTATAGAATTCAATGCCTCATCTATAAATACTTCCGTATGTCTCTCTAAGAAATGAGGTGGTTACTGTAACATAGACATAATTTCCTGCCAGGGCGTAAGTGGAGCTATAGGGGACCCAGAGTCTGCCTATCAGCCCTTGCTACCCATGGTTTTGGAACCGCATCCTCTCGTAGGGAGAGCCCTTGCTGCAGACCAGGTGAAATCTGGGTCTCTGAGGATACAGAACATTTCCATCACCACAAGGGTTCCCCCACATTATCCTTTAATAACCATATCTGCTCCCCTTCTGCTCATACCCCTCCTTAGCTGGGAATGATGAATCTCTTTCTATAATTTTGTCATTTTAAGACAAAAGGATGTTGTATAAATGAAATTTTACATTAAATAAATGTTGGGAATTGCCTTTTTTAAGTCGGCATAATTCTCTGGAGAGTCATCCAGAGATGGCTATGATTATCAATAGTTCATTCCTTTTAATTACTCAGTAGTTGCCATGTTTTCGATCACGGTTTGTCCCCCTGAGTTTCACGTGTTAGAATTTGGTCTTAGCAGGCATTGATTGCATGTCTCCCAGAAATGCCTGAGTTGAGACTTGATTGTGTTTGTTGTATTGTAAAGATATTAAGTGAAAACTTAATTCTTTTGTGATGTCCAGGGTGAGGCGTTTGGGTGTTACATTGTTATTAGGGTGGAGCCTCTGTGATGGAGTTACGGTGTATGTAAGAAAAGAAATAAAACCAAAATGGCAGAGAGAAAGCCACACTTGGCTCTGCTGAAAGTTCTGCCTTCTGTCATTTTGTGATGCCCTGGGACTTTCTAGCCACAGGAATGATGAGTTATTAAATTCTATTTCTTTATAATTCACCCAGGTGCAGGTATTTCTGTTAGCAACACAATAATGGACTAAGATAGTTGTATTTCCAATGTACAAAAGTTTGCTTCAGCATATACCTGTTAAAGGACGTCTGGGTTATTTCCATCTGGGAGCTATGATAAATAATCTTTGATTAACTTCATCCATGTACAAGTTTTTGTGTGAACACAAGCCTTCATTTGGGGAAAACAAATGTCCAAGAATACAATTGTTGGGCTGTATCATAGTTGCGTGTTTAATTTTAGTTTTTAAAGAAATTGCCAAACTGTTTCCCAGCGTGGCTCTACCACTTTGCATTCCCACTGGCAAAGTGTGAAGGAACTAGTTTCTCCGTGCCTTTGCCAGTTGTTTGGTGTTGTCACTATTTTTTAGTTTAGCAATTCTGATAGACATGTAGTGGTATTTCGCTGTGGTTTTAATTTGCATTTTCCTAATGACTAATGATATTAAACATCTTTAATGTGCCAGTTTGTCATCTATGTTGTCGTCTTTGTGTCTTTATGTCTTTTCACCATTTTTTAATTGGATTTTTTGCTTTTATTTTTAAAACAGCTGTTTTGAGAGTTCTGTGTATAGTCTAGATACCAGTCCTTTGTCAGATTTGTGGCTTGCAAATGTTTTCTTTAAAGTCACATGTGCAGAACTCATCTTTTTATCTTCTTAGCTAGGTCTTTTCAGAGCAAAATGTTTAATTTTGATGACATCATATTCATCATTTTTCTTTTTATGGATCATGCTGTGAGCCAAGTTTAAGAACTCTTTGTATGGCCCTAGATTTCAAAGATTTTCTCCTGGTTTTTTTTTTTTTTTTTTTCCTGCATACCTTACAGTTTTGCATTTCACATTTAAGTCCATGAGCCTTTCAAGTTAGTTAGTTTTTGTGTAAGGTGTGATGCTTAGGTGAAGATTTTATTGTTTGGGTTTGGATTTGGGAGGTTCTGTTTTTGTTTTTGTTTTGAATATTTTGTTTTTTCACATCTATGGATGTCTAATTGCTCCAGTACCGTTTGTCAAAAAGGCTATCTTTTGGGACCAGCAGGCAGTCTGGTGGTTAGGGTGCTGGACTCTGGTTTGAGCCCTGGACCCGGCAGCTTACTATCTCAGTTTCTCTCTCTCTCTCTCCCTCTTCCTTTCTCTCTTTCTCGCTCTCTCTGGTGAGCATATGTGCCTATAGCAAATTTTAAAATAATATTAATAAATAAAATTAAAGAAATAATTATTTTTTAAAAGACTATCTTTCCTTCATTGAATTTGATAATTTTGTCAAAAATCAGTTCAGCATGTTTGTGTGGGTCTATTTCTAGATTCTCAGTTCTGTTCTATCAGTATATGTGACTGCTCTTTGCCAATACCATGAAGTCTTGATTACAGTAGCTATAGAGTTAGCCTTAAAATCAGATCATCTTGGTGGTTAAGACAACCAGATCCCACACGGCTGCTCTCTCTCTAGTGAACTTATGTGCCCATTAACAAATAAAATAAAATAAAATAAAATATAAAATAAAAAAGATAAAAAATGGTACACCTATATAGAGCATGTTGCCAGAAATGGAGCATTCAGGACTGAAGGTTGATCTGGGATCTGAGTCAGTGAGTGAATGGTGAGTGCATATGAAGACCTAGGGCCTTATTGGACACTGCTGTAGACTTTATACGCACTATACATTTAGGCTACCCTAAATTTTTTTTTTTAATTTTTTTCTTCTGTAATAAATTAACTTTAGCCTCCTGTAACTTTTTTTACTTTATAAAGTTTTTTTTTATTCTGTTAACTTTTGATTCCTCTGTAATGGACTTAATTTAAAACACAAACACATTGTACAGCTATACAAAATGTTTTCTTTGTATCTTTATTCTATAAACTCATCTCTCTCTCTCTTTTGTTTATTGGTTTTTGTTTTTATGCCATATGGCACATGTGCTTGTCACAGAGAGACGGACAGAAACAGAGAGAGGGAAAGTAAGAAATCACCCCCGGAGGAAATGGCCACACCATCATCCCTTCTCCATTCTCCTCTTAGGATTTTGGGCATACATGCATATACCCTAACATGATTTTCAAGCTGCTGGGGATCTGAGACTTGACCATGTGAGACTCCAGCACCTTAAACACCATGCCCACTTGCTAGCCCCAAGCTCTTCTTTGTTAAAAATTTTTAAATGTATTTATTTTTTTACTTTTTAATTTTTTTTTTTTGGGTTAAAAACTAAGACACAAACATACACATTAGCCTAGGCATACAGAGTCGGGATCATGGGTATCAGTCTTCCACCTCCACATCTTGTCACACTGGCAGGGTCATGATAAACCAAATCAAGCACAAAAGAAAATGATGCTATCAAGAGAGACAGTAAACACAAGATGTATGAGGCTGTCGTCAGCAGAACACAGCCCACTCTCATGGTAAACTTTTTAAAGTAGGAGTACACTTAAAATAATGATAAAAACTGTTGGGACTAGCAGTTGGTATATCGCTATGTCTCTGGATTCTCATGTAGTCGACCACAGTTTGAGTCCCGGACCCAGTGGCTTAAACTCACTCCGGGCACATGTGCGTGTGTGCCCAAGATCTCAAGAGGAGAAGGGAGGAGAAGGGATTGTGGCGTGGCCATCCCCCCTGGGGGGGAGATTTCTTGCCAGGCTATTCCTTTCCTGGCCCACTGGCTTGAGAAAGCCCAGGCTTTTGTTGGGGCTTTTTATGCTATTCCTGTTGGCATTTGCAGATCCCATCTTTCTCAATTGCCTTTCTAGGATGTATAAATCAAAAAGAAAAACCAAAAAAAACTCACTGCAATGTTTTTCCTCAGGTCCTGAGCCCCCAAAATACTGTCTTCTTTTCTTCACCTTTCAGAATCTTTTTGTTTGTTTTATACATAATATCCAGGGAAATATACACCTAACAACAAAAAAAAAAGGCAGTATGTTTATTCTCTGTAAGAAAAGAACAGTGAGCAAAGTAGGCCTCAGTTGTTGATTTTGGGCATTAAGAGACATTCATTTGTTCACAAATTTTTATTGATATGTTTACACACACACACACACACACACACACACAATATATATACTTCTTTATTTTCTTGAGAGAGTTGCTGCAGAATGCGTGTGCTTGCCAGAGAGGTGAAGATAAGAAATCAACCCCCCCCCTGGGGCAAGGGGGGATGGCCATGCTACAATTCCTTCTCCTCTATTCTCTTCTCAGGATTTTGGTCACACACATACACGCACCTGGCCTGAGTTTCAAGCTGCCGGGTCCAGAACTCGAACCATGGTTGGCCACATGGGAGTCTATACCTCAGCTCACCTTAGTCCAACACCTTACCCCACCTGCTGGCCACCACAATGTACTTCTTAAAAAATAAGAATTGGGGCCAGTTAATGGTGCAGCTCTGCAACACTGATCCACATAAGAAGGTTCCAAGTTCATATCCAGAGAACTCCCCAAGTATTCCAGGTACGCATGTGCCCATGACCTGGGGCTGGCTGAGACTGAGAGTGGATCATGGTGTCAAGACCTTGTTAAGGGTGCTGTCTCTCTCTCTCCCATGGAACAAATCAACTTTGAAAATAAAGAAAAATTACAATTTTTTTTTCTTTTTGCCAAGAATCACTGGGAGAGGGGCATTGTCAGGGGAGGAATCTAAACAAAATTGACTATGGCCAATGAATTAGAACACCAACTTCAGTACATAATATTTCTTATGTGTCTTCTAAACCCTTTATGAAGAAAACTAAATTAACATTTCATGTTTGGAAAAAACTCAAACTCAAATTCTAATGGAAAATTTAAATTACTAATTCATTTTTTTAAAGAATTACTTTATTTCACTTGATTTATTTTAATTTGGCCAGAGACAGACAGAGTGAGTGTGAGAGAGAGAGAAAGTGATAAAGCAATCCACTAAGTCCAGGACTCAAACTACAGTTGGCCACGTGAGAGTCCGTGCCCTTAACCACCATGCCACCTGCTAGCCCCTCAAATTTCTAGTTCTATTTGGTCTTACTGAGGCCTGAACTGAACAGTACAATGGGCTATCCTTGTTTGGCCTAGGCCAGTGGTTCTCAAAGTATGGCCCATGGGGCTTGAACATGTGTCCATAAAATTAAGGCTACTATTTTCACAATAATACTAAAATATCATGGACTTTTTCTATGTTAAAATTTGCACTGCAGTTATGTTATGATAAGATGACTATAATGTCACTAGGTGGGTGAAACTGCTGAAACCTTGGCATGAATTGGTGTAGGGGCACCAGACTGAAAGATCCATTGATTTACAATGAATCTTCTTTTCTACAAGAGTAGAAAAACAAGTCATGAGCTGGGAGAACATATTTACAAAACACATACCTGACATAGGACTGGTATCCAAAATATACAAAGAACTCTTAAAACTCAACAACAACAAACAACCCAATTAGAAAAATAAGCAAAAGATTTAGACACATCACCAAGAAAGATATTTGAGCCAAAAATAAACATATGAAAAGATGCTTAATATCATGGGTTACTAGAAAATTGCAAATTAAAACGAGTACCACTATATCTGTGAATAGCCAAAAAATTTTAGAATGGCTAAGATCCGGAAAACTGATGGTTCCAAATGCTGATGAAGATGTGGAGTAACAGAAACTTTACTGTTAGTGGGAATGCAAATGATACGACTACTTTTGGGGCTTTTTTTTTTTTTTAACACTCAAGGTTAATAAAAAAGGGAGTAGGGGCCAGCTGGTGGCATGCAGGTTAAGACAGCTGGATCCTACATGGCCGACTTTGATGAGTCCCAGACTCAGCAGCTTGTAAAACATGCTGGGCATGTGTGTATGCGCATGTGTGCATGCCAATCATCTCTAGAAAAGGGAGAAGGAATTGCAACATGGTCATCCCCCCTGGAGGTGGTTTCTCAATTTCCTCTCTTTCTCGTGCTGTCTTTCGCTGGTGAGCTCATGCACCCTATAGCAAATTTTTGAAAAACAGTGGTAGAAATAGTGATTGAATGCTTAAAAAAATAATTGGGATAATAATACTAATAATAATCTGAAAAAAAAAAAAAGAAAACCTATTGGATGGTGATAATGGGGATTTTAATGTTTTTGAATTGACTGATATGCATGGTATTCCTTCTGGAAAAAGAAATGTAATATACTGTAAAGTTATATGTGATTCAATGTAATATAAATAAGATTATGATAATAATAAATTAAAAAAGAAAAACAGTGGCGGGAGGAGTGAGGTAGAAAATGGTATATGAGAACACTCTGTACTGTTTGCTTAATTTTTTTGTAAACCTAAAACTTCTCTAGAGAATAAAAAAAACTCTATCAGTTAAAAACAAGAAGCCCACTGTTAGGGTTTCAGATTCCACATTGCAGCTGATCTTTAAAAACTACCGCTTCTTCAGTTTGGGTTTGGGATAAAGAAGTATATCCATCATTATTTAGAAATAATTATTTCTGTTAAAATACCTTTTTTAGCTCCATATCTGTATAGGGACAGATTTTCCTTGTGTACTTCAACCAAAGCAAAGTATCACAACAGCTGAACGAAGGAGCGGCTATGATAAACCAGCTGTCTTCTGTTAAGTTAAACAAAATCGGAAGCAGGCCCAGCCATGGTGGTATACTTCGGTTGATGCTGTTACTCAGCAAGTTGAGGCCATATAAAAGGCTCTATTTCAATTCCTGGCCTACCCAAAGATGAACAGAGTGGTGCTAGCCGGTAGCCTTAGCATGTTTTTAGCCCGTAAGCCTTAGCTACTTGGGAGGCTGAGGCAGAAGGATCCCGACATAGCCAGACTCTAAAAAATAGATAAATAAATAAATCTTCAAAAAAAATCAATTCCTCTTCTTATTAAACTTTTTGTTGTTTCAGAAAATAGTTACTCTTCTTTTAAAATGTCATTTATATTAACACATAACAGTTTATTATTTGTTTGAGTGGATAAATATTTTTTAAATGTCTCAGTTTTAATTTTTTATATGGTAAATATTGATAGATATAATCCACAAAAAGTAAAGCTCTTTGAGGGACCACTGGTAGTTGAAGTACTGGCTGGACTCCCACATGACAGACCATGACGTAAGCCCCAGATTCAGTGGCTTGTAAATCATGCGAGGTGCTTGTGCGTGTGTGCCCAAAATCATGAGAGGAGACTGGAAGAGAAAAAGCTAGGGTGAGGCCATTGTCCATGAGGGGTACTTTCTCACTGTACTCTCTTCGGTAAGTGCACATGCCCTATGGCAAAACCTAAGAAAAGCAAAGCTCTTTAGGATCGTCAATTTTCTTTTTTTTTTTTTTTAGTTCTACAACCAAAGAGTTTGACAACCACTGCCCTTGTGCTATGTGGTCTGGTTAAACTTTAATATTTAGGTTATTTTCTGGATAGTTTCACAAGTAATATACTAAGAGCAACTGCATCTACTAGTTAGTAACACCGTAGCTGCCAATATCCACAGTGTGGCCATCAGTGGTCTGGGTATATGTGAAAAATACGTATGCTAAGCGTATCTTTTTTTTAAGCATGAATCTGGAGTTTGTTCAATTTTCTTTCTTCTGTTATATTCCTTTAACATGAAACATTTCAAAGAATATAATAAAACATGAAGGTAAATAAAAAAACAGTGCAAGTCAGATTTACAGTGTGAGAACATAAGGCTTGTTATTACAGCTTTTAATGGCAGATAGTTTACAATAAACATTGGGCTTCGCCTGGTAGAAAATAGTCACAGACAGGAGGTAATTACTTGTCTGTCCATCTCCAAGCATCAGAAACTCTGGAGTCCCTCCAGTTGAATAATGCAGATATGCCAACTGTCACTCATTTGGAATAACATTGTTCTTATTGTCTTAATTAAATTAGAAAAATTAAACAATATAAGATAAACCTCCTTCTGAAAGTGCTAAAATTCCATGGGTGGATAAAACCCATGCCCCATCCTTTTACATGGTCGTTATTAGCCTTGAGTCTATGAGATCCCAGAGACTCCCACAAACAGAGTCACAGAGGGAGTGAAATGCACATGTACTAGCAAGAGCCCAGTGCCAGCAAATTTGAATATAACAGTGAGGGCTCTGTAAACAGTCGGAGAAACACAGCTAAACCCCAATACAGATAACAAGAACATAAATGGCCCTTTTAATGAGCTCTGCATCATCTCATATGAAATAATAAATACACCCAAACAGAGATAAAAAAGAAGAGCAAAATTATGCAAAAAAAATCTGTCATTCAGATATGTGGGCAGGGTGGCTGAAAATAGAAACCACGCAGCTTTCCAAAGACTTGAAGGTTTTAGATAAAGAAAATATAATCGCTCTAATTCTTGTTTAATCCTGTTCCCTCTAGTTTTTTTGTCAGAAATTGTTACCCCCCACCCTGGTTATTTAGGGACAGTGGAAGTACTCACAGAAATATACCTGCAACAGATTCTCACAAGCACACATTCTAATTTTAAGTTTTTAACATTAAAAAAGAACTGTGACAGAACTCACGAGGTTAGGAGCATAACCGAGATACAAATTTAAAACATATTTTATATTAATTGTTAATAATTCATAAATAATTCACATTTATGTTTGCTTTTTAAGTGCTTCAGATTAAAGGGTCATTTAGAATTTAAAAAAAAAATTTTTTTTTTTGGACAGGGTCTCATTGTCGTGTCCTCCTGTGCAGCTTTTTTTTAGACAGTCTTGCTACATCACTGAGGCCATCCTGGACCTTGAAGTATAGGTCCAAGCCACCACATCTGGCCTTTAGGTTGGACCAGTGATTGAACCTGGGCCTCCCCTGGGGTCCCAGCCTGCAGAGCACAGCACCTGAGTTGCCCACACCACCATTGCTGGGCCTAGCCTCAACTCTTTTTTTTTTTTTTTTTTTTTGAGAGATTTTCACTGTAGGGC